ATTTCCAAGTGGATCTATGTATGTTTTTCTTTGGGTCCATCTTATTACTTAGCTTCTTTAGGATCATTAATTATAGGCTCAGTATCTTTTCTTTACAGCTAGTATCCACTTACGAATGAAGACATACCATATTCACCTTTTTGGGTCTGGGTTACCTCACTCAGGAAAGTGTTTTCTAATTCTATCCACTTGCATGAAAAATTCAAGATGTCATTATTTTTTTTACCCCTGAGTAGTACTCTTATATGTAAATGCACCACATTTTCTTTATCCATTCTTTGGTTGAGGGGTATCTTGGTTGTTTCCAGGTTCTGGCTAATACAAATAATGCTGCTATGAACATACTTGTGTTGCAGGGAGAAGCTGCTTGTTCGTCCCAACCTCTCAGCTAGCTTAGCCCTGAAATAACCATACAGAAATTGTGTTAATTAAATCTGCTTCCAAGGGCCATGTTTGGGTCTGTGGTTCTGCTGCACCTGGGGTCTGTGATGTTTGCGAATGGATTGTGTTCCCACAAGGGATCAAAGGAACCATGCACATTTAAAACTAAAAGTCATGTTGAGCTGTTCCCATCCCTTACTGGCTCTGGAGTAGCTGGTCCTGCCCCTTGCAGCAGTAGACCTGATCCCCCTGCCAATGGGAGAGTTGCCCCCTTCATTCTGGAGTGATTGCCCCACCCCTCACCATGGCATGGGCCTAGAAGAGCTCGTTCTGTTCCTTGTTGAGGGGATGTGGTCCCAGTTTCCCACTTGATTCAGCTACCTTCCACTACCACATTCTGCACACTAAGTTGGCCCAGCCTAACATATATCCCATCTATATCCTTTTGGAGCATGTGAAGAGACTGATCATATGCAAAGTTAACCATAGGATTCCCATGACTTGGGGCAACAAGAGGATAACTGAAAGAGTTTGGATGAAGGTCCAGTGACCATGGTGTGCCACAGTTCTTCCACCGGACCCGTGACTCTTTGCAATGAACATTTTGTAGGTTGGCCTGGTTGGACAATAGGGCATGCCATGCTGTGTGACACACCGCAGCATCCAGTGACACTAGGATAAATGAAGAGGTGTTAGAAAGATGAAGAGAGAGTTGATTTTCTTCCTTTGTTCTGTTTTTAATTGCTTTGTTTGGGGGGGGGTTCTTTTGTGAGGGATGCTGCAAGGTTTAGGGGAGGATATGGAAAGACTGAGAGTGAGCAGGATTGTGATGTATGATGTGAAATTCCAAATGAAACAACAAAAATGTTATTCAAAACAATAATGTTTAAAATACTAGTTTTCTAAAGTTATTTGTCATACTGCATATAAAAATGCTTTAAATGTGATGTCTAATTCCATCTGGACTTAGCATAATAATGTATATAGTGTTTATGCCAAAATACATTTTTATCTCAATAGGAGGAAAAATAGTCTATTCTGGGACCAAATATGAGTGACCATGGCCCTGAACCACAGATACAAGTTGACTTAAATCCATGTTTCAGTGTGATGATGACAGTTTCAAATAGTGTTTGTAGTAACACAACAAAAGAAAGTAATATAATCAAGACATAATTATAATATATTAGTGGGACTGTCAGGTGGATAATATCTCTACTAATTGCCTAATACTGTGTGTGTGTGTGTGTGTGTGTGTGTGTGTAACTTTTATTTGGTTACAAACAAAAATTACTGTAAATGGAGACTGACTTTCATTTCCTAGCTGCCCAGACCTCAATAATCACACAGAAACTATATTAATTACAGCATTGTTTGACCAGTGGCTCAGGTGTATTTCTAGATTGCTCTTACAACTTAAATTAAGCCATCTCTATTAATCTATGTATTGGTATTGCCACATGTCTGTGGCATTACCTCATTTCCAACATGCTTTGTTTCCTCTTTAGGTGACTGGTATCTACCTGACTCCACTTTCTTTTTCCATGCACTCAGTTTAGCTTTTGAATGTAGTTATAGTAACAAAGTCTTTAAAGAGACAGTAAAAGTAATATTTGCATATTCCATGTTAATAAGGCTTATATTTATTACTCTATTACTTTTTACTACTTATTTATTATCTTTACTTTTTTAATCTATAACTTTCTGTACACTTTTATATTACCTTTACTATCTCTTTAAAGACCTTGCTTTACTTTTGAAAACATTTTTTTCTATCACTGCCTATACCCATTTTCCTTTTTTCTTAAGCCTACATACATTTTTAAAACATATTATGACTTGTCTAGAGGTTTATTTTTGTCCAAATCTGTCTCAATTATGTATCTATACGTGTTTTTTTTTATCACTGCTTTAAGCTGTTAAGCATACGTGGCTAGGATCAGACGTGCTGCTTTGGCTACCTTCAACATTTATTTATTTAATTATTTCATGTGTGCATGTATGGGAATATTTGTTGATGTTCAAATCTCATGGGAGTGATAACTCTACTTCCACCATGTAGGTTTTTGGGGATTTAACTCTGGTTTGACAGGAAACCTTTTTACCTGCAGAGCTACCTCACTGGCCTCCATTGCCCTTCTTGAAACACACATTACATACAAGAAATGCCATTGAAATAATTGTTAAAATTTATATTCTTAGAAACTATACAGACAATCAGAGGTCATTTTATAGTTTAATTGTATAGTTTTTCAAAGAATCCTTAAGGTGTTTCTCTTGTTATAATATGACTGTGGGCAGGTAAAGTCTGTAGACTTAGCATGACTTATAAAATCGTCCTGAGAAAGAATGAGAAAAGGATCAGAAAAAATGCAAGAACTGTGAAATGTAACCTTGTAGGCTTGGCATAGTTAATGCAGTCATAGTACCAAAGCCTCCTATCCTGGGTGCCACAGAAGGAAATCATCAATAGTCAATCAAAGATCAGAGAATATCTATGTATTGTTACATCTCCTTGATGAACTGTGAGCTACTGATGATCCTGGGACAGTGTCAAACATTTTCTTCAGTCGAGACCACCTACTGAAGAGATCATAGTGCCCCAGGCATAGCTGCAAACAATGGACACTTAAATAGTTATGGATCAAAAGCTAAATAAAAATATATGAATGTTGAAAGTCACTAATCCTTTCAAATATGTCACTCTCTGGTGACCAAGCCTTCAAATCTATGAGCCTGTTCTTATTAAACCATCACTTTCATTAACAGCTTAAATATTAATAGTTTAAGAAAAAGGCTTCAATGGTGTGATGAAAGAATAAGGAAATATCAGCCTAGCAATCTACCAAGAGATGGATGAAGAATTGTGAATATATATACAATAGTGTTTTATTTAGCCACAAAAGAACAAAATTAATGTCATTTTCATAAAAGCTGATACAAGTAAAGTTTATCATGTTGTGTGAAAGTGATTAGATTCTGAGAGATAAACAGATTTTTTTAAGTCTAATTTTTAAAAAAAAGCATAAAAGTAGAAGTAGTACTATTTGGGATGGATGCGGAAAGGTACCAAAGGGGAGAAGAGAAGAGGGACAGAGAGGGCAGTGTGGGAAGAGTATGATGGAAGTTCATGGTGTCCGTGGATGAAAGATTTCATGCTAAAAAGTGGGATCTTCTACAATGAATACAAGCTTATAAAGTAGTTAAAATAAAACAAAGGGACTAAATGAAGCTGAAGAGAAATTGAGTAAATTGAAAACACTAAGCAAATGACTACTGCAGTCCATGTCACCACTTTCTTGTCCCAAATTGCTCAACTTTGGAAGTTCTCTTATGATAATGCAACTATATAAGTAATAAAAAAAACACTTACCCTCCAAAGAAAAAAAAGCAGAATAAAAGAAAGTCACTCCTGTGGTTTGTGTGACTGAGGGACAGGGATAATAAGTATAGAAGGGATATAAGAGCTGAGGGACTGTTTCAGATATAATCAACTTATCACAGATATTGTCAAAGAGCATAATTAATTAAAAATATGGAGACAAAATTGTTGGGAGTTAAATCTATATACAAACTAGAGATACTTTTCTTTTCTGAAAAAGAATCTAGAATCTGTACATATGTACACATCAAAGTCTGTGGCCATATATGACCAATGTTTATCTGTAGTCATATTATTTTGAGAAAACATGATACAGGCATTTTTGGGGTTTTGCTAGGTAATTCATGTTATGAAAACCTCTGACTTATTAGAATATACCTACAGGTTGATTTTAAACCTTAGCTTAAGAATTATTGGAATGATATGCAAGAAGTTCTGATTTTCAGATCTGTTTAGAAATCAACTAGATTTCAAGTTATTCTCAACATGTATAGTTTATCCAGCAAATGACACACTACATATAATGGTAAATAATATGAATTATTATAAATATCATATTATCAAGTGCAGATAATGTTTATCTACTGGACCTTGACAGTTATGTTATTTAATTATATATAATATCATGATCAATATTATAAACAGGTTGTCCTTTGAGCTAAAGAATAAAATGCAAGAAAATTCTGAATTCATATGAATAAACTGACTTGAAAACTACCAAATATTATATCAATAAGAGGCAGTTATCATGATGATGTAGACTTGTTTAGAATTTTGATTTCAATTAATTTTCACAAATAACTTCAATCTGTTCTTTTAAAAAGATAGAATTAAGATTGATGTATAATGTTATTTTAAGAAGTGGCAAAACATAAATAATTCAAAGAGTTTTTATTACTAACAATCTAATTAAAGTGCCTTGCACAACTTTGGAAGCACACATAATATGCGATAACATGCTCTCATTATTTTTGGAACTTTATCATCATCTTCTACTATTCAATATATGTAAGTACATTGTGCAGACTATTGCTCATTCTAAGTGGTAAAACTACAAGAATTACAATTTTGAACATATTCTTATAATGGTTATTTTTCATAACCATATACTAATTACAAGTTATAGAGTACAGAAATAAGTTATTTTATGAAGAAATTTCCATTAAAATTTGTGTAAAATGGTATATACACAATAAATTTTCTAATAATGTAAGATGCCTAAAAATTATTCAAAAACTCACAAGTGACTTATCAGCTTCTTTATGCCATTTTTAATATCTCTATTTCTCAGTGTATAAATGGCTGGATTCAGGAGAGGTGTGATGACTGAGTAAAATACAGCAAGAAACTTATCCACCCACGTGATGTTGACTGGCCACAGATAGATGAAAATAACAGGACCAAAAAATAGCACAACTACTATGATATGCGAGGTACAGGTAGAGACTGCCTTTGATGAACCATCTTTAGAGTGAAGCTGAACAGTTAACAGAAGGTAAGTGTAAGATATCATCAAGAAAATGAAACAAGTTGTTGCTACAACACCACTCTCAGCATTCATCACAATTCCCAGAGTATCAGTATTCATGCAGACTAATTTCATCACCAAAGGAATATCACAGAAAAAGCTGTCTATCACTCTTGGCCCACAAAAAGGAAGCTCCAAAATCAGAATCAGTTGACTAATGCCATGCACAAATCCAATGATCCATGATATCACAACCAGCCAGATGCACTTCTGTCTGTCCATGATGCTGGTGTAGTGGAGTGGCCTGCAGATGGCCACATAGCGGTCATAAGCCATTGTTACAAGAAGCACCATCTCTCCCCCAACAAAGAAATGTACAAAGAGGATCTGGCACATGCAGCCCCCAAAAGAAATGGTTTTATTTTCTTTTACAAGATCTGTGATCATTTTGGGGGTAGTAACTGAGGAGAGGCAAAAGTCAGTAAACGAGAGATTGGCTAACAGAAAGTACATGGGAGAATGGAGGTGATGATCAGTGATGATTAATATCACCACAAAGAGGTTCCCTATCACAGTCATCAGGTAGAGGGTGGAAAATGGCAACAGAAGGAAGATCTGAAGTTCTCTTGAGTTACAAAGTCCCTGAAAAATAAACTCAGACACCATAGAGTGGTTTGCTTCTTCCATTTAGTACACTGTGCTCCAATGGATTGAGAGAGACAGAGCCTAAGAATTCCTGAAATAGAAACAATATCTTAATGTTCAGAGTAAAGTAAAAAGCAAAGAACACAAATTATATCCTAGCACTGCATTAAGTCATATTTAAATAAATTGTTTTTTGTATATTTTTTCTAATTGAGGAATTTTCCTAAATGTAGGAAAAGCTTTCCACATCTGAAAGTTAATGTGTACAGGCATGCAAATGAGTATTCTTTAAAAATATCAGTATCAAATATTCCTTTTACATTTCCCAATTGTTAAAACTACCCCTTTGACATGGAATCAGAGGTTACTTTATTCAATTAATATCTGAGATATATTTAAAGCCTCTTCACTTGACTGTCAAAATACAGAGAAACCACTGACATATTTTAAACATAAACACAAAACTCCAAGGCACAAGACTATTTTTGACTTTGTCTGAAGACACAGAATTGAATACAGTCTATTAAAATTTGTGAGAAAACTGGTTCATCAAATAAATTGTCAATCCACATGCTAAAGATGCATTTAGCATTATGTCTTACTTGTATTTGGACTTATTCATTGAACTGTATCTCTGAACAATCATGTATTGCTAGGACTAAAGGAGTTTACTTTCAACTGTAAGTGATGAGATTTCATACAATATTTTAAGCATGCAAGCGGCTTTCTGTGCTTCTCTACTTTTCTATTTCATCTCTTCAATTTTCTAAACTTCTTTCCTTCCTTGACACTCTCCCTTTATTTATTTCTCATGAGTTTTCTTTCATAATTTTAATGTCCATACTTTTGCTACTTTTAGGTTTGAAATCTGAAGGTTAAAACATTAACAAGTTAGGGTATATTTTGTGATTTCCCTGTTAAGTACTTGAAACAATATATGTGAGTAATAATAATGTTTATTGATTTCCTGTGTCCATCAGTTCTATACACTAGTAAAACTGTAATACCAAATGAGGTCTCTGATTAACAATTTCCCAATATCAGTTCTAGATTATGAAATAAATAGTAGAAATCTTAATTTTGTGTCTAAGAAAATTAATGACATTTGTAAAACAAGACACTATTAAATTACAAATAACAAAAGTAAAAATAATCAACTGAAGTAGCAAAAATGGTAAGGATTACATAAAGTTAAGTTTATTTTCATGAGAATTGGACATACTTAACTCTTTGAATATCATTGGTGTTTTCAAACACTTTTTTTAATTTGGTGAACTCTTAGTGAATAATAGTTCCTCTAACCTGTGTCATTGTAATTTCTAACAACTACTTCACTAATGTATTGCCTGTATCTTGAAAAATCAGAGAATCTAAAATTTAAATGGTAATCAGATAACATTAGAATAAGTTTAGTTTCCTGAGTACAAAGTTTTTCTGAGTTGGGAGACTTGGAACTTTTAACATTATCCTAAGAGATCATTAGATGTAAACATACAAAACTATTTTATGATTCCAAATGTTCCAAGAACTAGTTGGAAAGGAAAGCTACAAAATTTTCATCAAGCACAACAGTTAAAAACTACAAATGCAAGACTCATGTAAACTCATGAAGGATTTAAAAGATGTGCTACTAAAACAAACAAACAAGCAAACAAACCTTAAATGAGTAGTTGTGATGAAAACTGAACGTACAACAGTCAATTTGCCAGGTACTCAGGCTATCTGAATCAATTTGTAACACTAATCTTCCCTTTTGGATGATAGTTCATCTAATTTTCCCTGAAATACTCTTACTTCATTTTTTTCCTTTTATGGCCAATGTTGGTGAATTTTTTCACCTCAGTGTGGTTTATATACACTGACAAAAGTCTTGTCTGCCTTGGAAAGTTTCCCATTCTGCGCTTTAAATAGGACCATGAAATTGGAAAGCTTCCATAGTCTTTAGGGATCCCTAACCTCTAACTTATCTTGAATTGACTCTAAGAGCAAGATGATAAAGAAAATTTATTCATTAATTTTAGAAATATTTTGTAAATATGAATTAAAATTTTGTTTGTGTTATGACAACTTACAATTCAAAAGGCAAATCACTTGGGACATTGACATGCCATAGCAGTTAAAGTCACTTCTTGCGGAGCCTGATGACCTAAGTTAACCATAAGTATCAACAGGGTAGAGGGTTAGAAGCCCTCAGCTGTCTTCTAACCACACATGTGCCGTTGCATGTATGAACATGCCTACACTCGTGACAATGCTTCCACATTAATAAATGTAATAACTCTTTGAAAAAGATGGAAAATATGTCTGCAGTTTTTCAGCTCATGTATCCATTTAGACAATTATCTCCACATCTGGAAATGCAAAAAAGCATTTTTTTTCTTTCTCATTCTCTTTTGATACCTTAAGATCAATCACTACCACACCTTTAATCAGGCAAATAATCTTATTTAGATTGTGCAATTTGGTATTTATTTTCAAAATCATTTAATTCTATATACTTAAGGTGAACAATTCTATGTTTTAATAGACACATCTATGGTAAAATTGCATATTGGTACTTTATAAAGAAACTATGTGCTTAAAGAATTTAAAATCTCCTTTTGATTTTCATCACATAATTCTATTTCATTAAATATAGTTTTTAATTCATACATTTAAAAACTATTTTATTTTTAACTCTATATGTAGTTCTGTAGAGAAACATTATTATACATGAAAAGCAGTTTTATAAACAAAGTAATTATAAACCCCAAATATGCTTTAATCTTTTATATAATAAATCTGATATTATAGTTGTTTCTCCAAAGTATTTTTATTTCCTACACTCTAATATATTTTTGTTATATTGTAATAACCCCCAAACCCTTATATATAACTCTTTATATTCTTCAATTTTAGGGAAATAATTATAATTCTCAATAGTCTAGGCAAAATTCATTTTCAAGTTTATTTTATTGACATTATTTCAGAATTTGTTGTTATTTATTGTTGCTTTATTGCTAACACTTTGAAATTTTGATTTTGGTATCTATAAGATTTCTGTCTGAGTTATTGTGGGCATTGTTGGGTTGTGATTTTTCTTCTATTGCTTTCTGTAAGACTGGATTTGTGACTACGTATTGTTTAAATTTGTTTTAATCCTGGAATGTCTTGTTTTCTCTATTGATGATGAACAAAAGCTTGGCTGGGTATAGTAGTTTGGGCTTGCATCCATGGTCTCTTAGTTTCTGCAGCACATCTATCCAAGACCTTCTGGCTTTCATGGTTTCCATAGAGAAGTCAGGTGTAAGTCTGATAGGTTTACCTTTATAAGTTACTTGACAAATTTCCTTTGCTCTTAATATTCTTTCTTTATTCTATGTGTTTTGTGTTTTGATTATTATATGGCAAGGGGATTTTTTTTTGATTCAGTCTATTTGGTGTTCTGTATGCTTCTTGTACCTTCATAGGAATATCCTTCTTTAGGTTGGGAAAGTTTTCTTCTATAATTTTGTTGAATATATTTTTGGGGCCTTGGAGTTGTAATTCTTCTCCTTCTTCTACCCCTATTATTCTTAGGTTTGGTCTTTTTATGGTGTACCAGATTTTCTGCATGTTTTGTGATGAGAATTTGTTGGATATGCTGCTTTCTTTGATCAGTGCGTTTATTTTCTCTATACTGTCTTCAGCATCTGAGGTTCTTTCTTCTATCTCTTGCATTCTGTTGGTTATACTTGTCTCTGTAGTTCCTGTTCGTTTACCCAGATTTTCCATATCCAGTCATCCCTCGGTTTGTGTTTTATTCATTGCCTCCATTTCACTTTTCAAGTCTTGAACTGTTTCCATTATCTGTTTGATTGTTTTTTCTTGGTTTCCTAGGGTATCTTTGAGGGATTTATTCATTTCTTCAAACTTTTTGTTATTTTTATCATCCATTTCTTTAAGGAAGTTTTTCACATTCTGTTTAAGGGACTCTATCACTTTCATAATGTTACATTTAAAGTCGATTTCTTCTACTTCTTCTGGATTAGGGTGTTTTAGTTTCCTGCTGTATGTTCACTGGATTCTGGTGTTAGTTGTTTTTTAGATTGTTGGAGGAATTATTGCATACTATGACACACTCTTAACTATTTATTTATATTGTTTACTTAGGCTGTTTTTCTCAGTCTCCCAAAATATTTTTTTAAACAGATAAACCCATTTTGGAACTCTTTGATGGATTACTTTGAGTTTCACATTCCTACATTATTGCACTTGGAAACGGGTTTTTCATAATACAAGATAAAATATATGACTCATAAGAAGTCAATTTTCCTTGTACCTGATTTAGATATATTAGTTATTGAAGACAGATGCTTAAAGAAAATCTCACACTAGCTCAGAATTCAGTATAATAAAAGGTTATTTTTTTGTTTTATTTTTTTATTAAAAATTTTCACCTCCTCCCACTTTCCTTCCACTTCCCCCTCCCCCTCCCTCTCCAGTCCAAAGAGCAGTCAGGGTTCCCTGCTCTGTGGAAAATCCAAGGTCCTCCCTGCTCCATCCAGGTCTAGGAAGGTGAGCATCCACACAGACTAGGGTTCCACAAAGCAGTACATGCAGTAGAATCAAAACTCAGTGCCATTGTCTTTGACTTCTCAGTCAGCCCTCATTGTCAGCCACATTCAGAAGTCCGGTCTGATCACATGCTCCATCAGTTCCAGTTCAGCTGGCCTTGATGAGCTCCCATTAGATCAGCCCCACCGTCTCAGGGGGTGGGCACACCCTTCGTGGTCCTGACTTCCTTGCTTATGTTCGCCCTCCTTCTGCTCTTCATTTGTACCTTGGGAGCTCAGTCCAATGCGCCAATATGGGTCTCTGTCTCTATATCCATCCATCACCAGATGAAGGTTCTATGGTGATATGCAAGATATTCATCAGTGCGGCTATAGAATAAGGCCAGTTCAGGCGCCCTCTCCTCAGCTGCCCAAGGAATAAGCTGGGGACATCTCCTTGGACACCTGATAACCCTTCTAGAGTCAAGTCTCTTGCCAACCCTAAAATAGTTCCCTTAATTAAAATAT